AAAACCTCAATACGAACACAAACCATTTAATAAATAGGTAACACAGACACGACTCGTTTAACTGCTTATGTTTAATTTATTATCAGTTTATTATTATATTTTTAGGTCGTCAATAAATTAAAAAAAAAAATATGTGGCTATCACTAAAATATATATATATATATATATATATATATATTATGTGGTTGTCACTAAAAAAATATGTCTAATTTTTTAAAATAATTATTAATTATTATTATATTAATTTTATTTAAACAGGTAAATGTGTGATAAATGATTTGACAAGACTTACTTGAACATGACCCGTTTATTAAACGTATCTAACAGGTCAACCAGTTTACCACCCGAACCCGTTAAAGTCTCACTCAAACCCACTTAATTCGTATCGATTTGTGTCGGTTAATCGTGTTGTGTCAGACTTTGGCAAGCCTAGAGAAGAGTCTACATCAATAACAAGAGATAGTGGGCGTGACATAGCCTCCATAAGGGCAACAAAGCTAGAACCAGTCCCAAACCAGAGAAGATTTTTGGGAGTGACTAATAACGTGTAAGGGACCGCCTCCGCACGAGCCACTTGGCTGACTCTCATCAGCTCGTCAGGGTCAAACTGGAGCGTCTGCACAACACAAGCACAATTAAGATTCATCATAATGTTTGCAAACCACAAGGGGGTAAAATTCCTTTACCTTTGTCAGAAAATGCCCCCAAGAGCGAGGGACCCGAGCACGATCAGACCGAGGGACCTAAGCATGCTCAGACCACACCTCAGCAAACTTCCAAGAGTCCCCCAAACAAAAAAGAAATGTCGAGTCCACCCTTCTAGAGAGCTAAGGGCATCAAGGACCAGCGAATAATCAAGTGGCGCCTCTATCTAAAGCGGCTAAAGTAGGGGAGCATATCAAAAAGAAGATCATAAAAGTAGAGGAACTCGGCAACAACTGGAAATTCACTGTTACCTTACAAACACCAAAAAATAAAAAAGCTTATCAGAGCACCCCATCCTTCTAGTGAAAGACGAGAGGGGCACATTCCAAAGAAGGCTAGAACCCTTCCAACAATAGGATGAATGGGCAAATGAAAACCCATCTCAAAAGCACCTTCAAAGAAACAAACTTCTCGCTAAAGAAGAAGGTTGCAAGGCTCATTAGAGGTTGGTACATAGATGGTCAAGGCGTCAAGAAGAAGGTACCACCTCTTAACTTCCTCCACCTCTGAAGCCGTAATCAGGGAAGGGAGCAGAAACATAGTGTACCAGGGCACGTCCAACACGACCTAGGCTTGTTTTTTGAACAGTGAGAAGGAGAGGAAGCTATGAAGCGAGAAGGAAAGCAAAAAGTAAGAATCAAAGGAAGATTGCAAAAAATAAAGAAATCCCGAGCTTTAGGCAAAAAATAAGGAATCCTGGGATTTAAGGAAGCGAACAACACGCGAAGACGAAGAGGCGGCCATTATACTTCCATAATCATGTCCAAAGTTAGGGAAAGTGGCACTTTAAAAAGGTAGGTGGGCACGTAAAAGAATCCCCTTACCGCTGAAGACATGTTTTATAGCAGAAAGGAAAAAGACAGGATACGAAGCAAGAACAAGAAAGATGCAAGAATCATCAGCATTGACCTCAGGTGGCTCGAGCAGCTTAGGAACAACAGTTGGAGTAGAGTTAGAAGAAGATCATAAACCAAGGATGAGCTCTTTAGCTCATAAAAACTCTATAAGCTCTTTACCTTATAAACACTTGATGAGCTCTTGAGCTCATAAGCTATGAACTCAATGAGCTCTTTAGCTTATAAACACTTGATGAGCTCTTCAGCTCATAAGCTATCAACGAGCCCTGCAACTCACAAATACTTGATGAGGTCTTCAACTTATAAGCTATAATCGAGCTCTTCAGCTCTTAACATTCGAAGACCATTCAGCTCACAAAAAATAGGATAAACACCTCTACCAATGCTAAAATGAGTTCTTCAACAACGAAGAAGCCCCTAACGAATAGATAAAGCTCAGCGAACACAAGGGAAGACCTTATACTTGGCAAAAATTTAGATTCACTTCCAAAAGAACAGAGTTCTCCTCGAAGCAAAGGGAAGAAGGGAATAACAAAAGTACAAAACAACTTCAAAAGAATATTTTCATTTCTCAAAAAGCAAATACAAGACAAAATACAAGATCTTCTAAAAAACAAAAAATAGAAATTTCTTAAAATTCCCAAGTGCCTGCAACAGGATCAAAAGTGGTTTCTGGCAGCTCAGCAGTACGAAGAGAAGCCCTATAGGGCTCAGGAGCAAAAGAATCAGTTGAAGAGAGAGGAGCCTCAGTAAAGACAAGAGCAGGAACTTCAACCTCAGCTAATGGCAAAGTCACCCAGGAGTCTGAGCCTCAGGATCAGCAGGGATATCATCAGGAACCAAGACCTCAGCAGGAGCAACAACAAAAGCTGAGGCCTCTGCCTCTTTCTCAATACTTGACTTCTCCTTCTCCTTATCCATAGGAAGGTCAAATTTGAAGTCCAGGCCTAGGTACCTCTTCACAACTTGATCCTGAAAAGCAAGGTACCTAGTGACCCAATTGGTAGCAGCCTAGTCCTTAAGCTCAGAGATCAAAGCATCCTTCTTTCGAGCTGTGACCCTCTTACCTCAACCTCATTTAGTAGAGTAGCGTTGACCTCATATCATACTTTTTTTTCATTGTATCAAAGGATTCAAGGGCCTCTAAGGCATCCTTGCGAGCCTAGAGGAAGTTGTTCACCTTCAGTTTGAGCTCATCCTTGGCTTTTCTAGTTTTAGCCTCCAAACCTTTAATGGCAGAGGCCAGCCCCTCAACATGAGCTTTGAGGTCATAATTAGAAAAGCTCAACTCAAAAATCTTGAGCTTAGATGCCTTTTCAACCTCCTCAGTTGTGCCTCCTAGAGCTCAAACACGACTCACCAGAGCTCTTACATGAATAGCCAATTAAGAGAAACACAAGAAAAATCAAAGCCAGTACAAAGGCAATGACACAAAGTAGAGGTAAAGCTGGAAAAATTCAAAAACTTACCAAAACAGCACTATATAAAGCAGTAGTGACAACAATGTGGAGAAAATAGCAGCAGCCTCTTGAATATTTGAGTCAGGGATAACTGAAGATAGGTGAACCTTTGTCTTTCTCAGCTTTTGCTGACAAACCTTCCATAAGTAGACAGCGAGTCTTCTTAGAGGTCAGAAGGGAGGAGGCCATCACAAGAGAGGAGCGATGGAATCCAAAGCCTCTGCGACCTCTACCGACGAAGGAGAACAGGTGGCCCCAACTTGTCCAGAAACCCCTATGAGGAGAGAGGGGAGAAATCCCATGAGAAGGTGAGGCCAGGGTGGTCTTTGGTAAACTCGGTGAGGGCATAATAATCGTCAGGGAAGGAGGAGGAAGCACCTCTGTCCTCTACACCTTTGAAGGAGGCTCAAGCCTAGATCCTGCTCCAAGCTTGCGCTTTGCTTTGCCCTTTACCTCAGCAATCTTAGCTTTCACAATCTCAATGTCTAGAGCCATTAGGATGGAACCTGAGAAAGTAAACAGGTCAATTAACACAAAAAGAAAGAAAAGAAAAAACATAGATCAAGGATGAAGAATCTTACCAGCAGGGTCTTTTGCACCAACAACGAAGATGGGAATCGGAGTCTCAAATCTGACCTTGGGAGGGCTGAACCCTAGCTTGGTAAGCACAAAATGCTTGATCAAGTCAGAATATTACTTCGGGCAGCAATCTTCGAGCCCTAGGAAAGGAAGCCTATTCTCATCTCCAAGCTTAGGGTGAATACCTAAAACAACCCAAGGAAATAAGGTCAGCAAGCACAACAATGAAATAAGCCAAGTTGAACCTGCCCTAAACAAGGACTCACCTAGGCTGTCAGGACCTGACCAAGAGCGAGGGATAGGAATGGTGTCTTTGGCATTACTCGGGTGAAAATCCCATTCCTTCTCTAACACAAAGAAGAATAATTTCTTCCAATTCTTGTGAGAGCTAGGCAAGTCAGTAATCAAGGCTGGGGTCTTCATCCATTTGAAGATTTACAAAAATCCGTCAAGTTAGAACTTGATGTTGAAGTATTTCATAAGCAAAGGAACCGAGGGGGTACCAATCCTATTTTTATTAAAAAAGACAAGGAGTCCCACCATGACACCCCAGAAGTTGGGAGAGATCTGAGCAGGGCAAACGTTGAAGTGTTGGAGGACAGATTTGATGAAGGGGTGTATGGGGAACCTAAGACCATTTTCTATAGAGGCTATAAAGAAGCAGCCCTTTTTGGGGACCTTAAAATCATAACTAATGTCTACACAAGGAATCCAATAGCGCATGCCCTTGGAAAAGCCAAACCTTGCAGATAAGACGCTCATAAAAGGAGGTGCAACCTCACTATGACCTATTTTGTCTGAAGTGCGAGGAATGGGCTCAGAGCCCTTAACGCTACCTGAAGGTCCAGCTCTACCCTTTTTGTTTTTTCTTTTCAAGATCACTTAGGACTCGAAGAAGACCCTGGTAAAGACAAAGGCACCTCTGCCCCTTCTTCGGCATCAACCCCAGGAAAGTTGTCGATTTCATCACCAACATCCTCCAAGTCGTCTTTCTCTATTTCTGGGGACTATTACCCATGGAGAGAGAGATAGACGAAGTTGTGGCTTCAGAAGAGACATATATAACTGGGCAAGAAAAAGGAAGATTGAAAGAGTTGTAAAGGGGGGGAACACGAGTAAAGCAATTCCTAAGAGCCCAAGGGTCAAGACACTAGCGACCGAAGAGAAAGATTCTAGTAATAGAGTAGGGATCCAAGAAGAGAGGTAGAAAGGACAAGGTAAGGCCTTGATTCCTAAAATAACAAAAGTGAAAAGTCTAGAAATTAAATGACCAACTTGAATTCGAGGGATCCAAAACAAAAGAGAAGAAGAAGGAATAGAGCAGGGGACGTACTAAGCTTGGAACGATCGTTAAACTAGGAACCAAGGGAAACTCTAAACAAACTAGGCTAACCACGCAGAACCTTTGAAGAAAAATTGAGAATTTTCTTGAAAACCCTATATCCTTAGCGAACAAGGGAAAGGGAAAGAAAAAAAGGAAGGGAAGAGAAGAAATAAAGCCTGAAGACACAATGTAAAGAGGGATTGAGAAAATGAAAGACGATTTTTTCATATGCAATGGCATTTAGCCAAATGTACGTGGACCCTCAAAATAAGGGATGTGCATGAGAAACAAGGAGAGCATGATTACACGTTCGCCATAACCGTTAGAATAAAGTCCCATCATGCACAAATCGAGGTCGACCCAGGCAACCTTACTCATGGCATAATCCTTGCTCAAATCAACCTGTTTGACTGGGGACTGGGGGATAACTGATGGTACCACAATATCTAAGGATGAGCTCAGTAACCCAGGTCATGCTACTCAAGTCTAGAGCTCAACTCATCTATATTATTTACAGACCTCGACCTCGACCTCGACCTCGACCTCAACTTCAACTCCACGTGTCCATATCTCGAGAAAGGCTATGCAAAGGACAGTCCAATCCAACCGAGTCCCCCTTTTCTATAGCATCAATCACTCCGCAAGAGCAAGTTTTGTTGCGCAATAAGGGCAACCATTACAAGAAAGGAGCGAGGATCTCGCCTCAGATCAAGCAAGACCCAAAGATAGCTATAAATAGGAGGCAAAGCCCTAGAAAATAAACAACAAACCATTGTAGCCTTACAAGAATACTCTTTGCAAACTTCACACATTATTCAATATATTCAGGAGCAAGAGACTCATTTGAGAGTGGATTAGCTAAGCTCCTGAGCTGGTGAACCACGATAAACACTCTGCATAATCACCCACTTATCCCCAAATTCTATTCCCTAAAGCTTTGGAGCGTAGAATGAACTGAATCCAATTGTTCAGTACGCTTTATATTCACATCACTGCTCAATTGTGTTAAAAAACATCATCACATCAAAGGGTGATTTGGTTCCATAATCATTAATTAAGCAAAGTATGAGGCAAATACCTACATGCACTACAATTGTAGTTTGCTTTTCTCATAAATATCTCGCAATTGATGGCAGAGGCCAACTTGTGCTTTGTTTTTTCTTAAATGATGGAATATCCATGAATTGAATTTTCGTAGTTTATGAGTACCCATGCCAAATGATATCTTAATCGCAAGAATGTGGGTTCTACTATTTTCTATATTATTTCTAACAATTACATATGCAACCAAGTAGTTGTTGTTTGTACTCGCAAGCTATGTAATTTACATTGCTATTTAGAATAAACAGATTGTTGTTTGTATTTGTATAATTCTAATGGAACTGTTATATTTTATATTTCAAGTTAGATTTTTCGTGGATCCTTAAAGATATCCACTTTGATCCTATGAATCTTGAAAATTATTTATATTGGCAAAAACATAATGAATTGGTTGGCAGAAGAAACAATTATTCATTGCCAGAAGTAGAATGAATCCATTGCCATAATTAATGATAAATTCATTGTCATAAGCAAAATGAATTATTTATTGAGAAATGTGAATTAGTGACAATATGATACTATGGATTCTTGAGATACAATTGATGAAGGAAATTAAGCATTCCTGAAGGATCACACAAATATAATAATTATCCTTAACCACCATATTATTAAAAAATAAATTTGATTATTTTGTGTTAAAATACCCATATATTAATTGGAGAATTATGATTTCCTTAAGATCCTAATCCTTCCAAACGCTCGATGCACCTAAAGATGCAAGATCTAAACATACCTGAAATTATGTGAAAAAAATTCCAAAATATTATATATTCAAAAAATAATGGATTACATTTTATGATTCGAATGTTCTCCTACAATAGCACATCAATAGGGTAGATCCACGAATGGATGGTTATCATGTGGTTGAAAATAAAATAATAATTTTATGTTTTTGAAGAAAATCGGCAATCTCATGTGATCGAATGTACATCATTCTCAGAAGAGAATGTTTTAAATGGTTTGAAATAAAAATAAATAGATTGATCTTAAAGACCAACTCTATATAGTTCTTGAATAACTAATTACTATACATTACGTTGTATCTTTTACTTTCTATATTTTTTTGAATTTATATTTTCTTACATCCTAATGTCTTGTACTTTATGTATGTTCGTGATTATGAACAAAACATTGGTTGCTTAGTAGAAATAGCTACCTAAAAGTTGGTAGTCATAATGCTTAAAATAGTGATAGTTGAAAGAAAGTTTTGGAAGAACCAATATTATATTGTTAACAAGGAACTCTATCTTGATGATATTTTGTAGATCCAAAAGAAATCTACCAAATTTTAAAGGCATACATTGCAATGGATATTGCATTATCCCTATTTAAAGCTAAATCTTGTCTTATAAAAACTTTTTGGTTTTTATATGGGTTATATTATTTGACCCTAAGTATATTTGAATTACATATTGTGATGCGCCTGAAGTGTTATGACCCAAATTTTTTTAAGTTTTGTCATGTTCATCTTGGACATCCAATATCAACTTTAAATCATTGTGAATATATTGTTTTGGTAAATGATTATTAATGTTTTGTGTTCTTACAAAATAAATTGGTTATCAAACCATTCCCTTGATATATGGTAAAATTATTTACATGTCTAATGTTGATACTTGTCGATTACTAATGTTAATATACATATTTTCTTGCATATATGTTTAACCATGAGTATTAGTATGCATAAATCTCCAATATGTGTAAATTTGCTAACAAATAAATTATAACCAAGGTTAAAATATGTTTCCATGTGTCAAATATATATGTGTGAGTTTATTAAAGTAAATCAAGTTCATTGACTCGTTTATTGCTATGTAATATTTCAATAGAGTTTTGCAAACTCCAAAACCATGTTAGCCTATTCTCAATAATGTGGACATGAAGTTATTGGTTTTTAAACCATTTAAAAGATTCAATGAGTATATTTTATAATTACACTAATTTGAGATTATTCGAATATTATTTATAATATTAATGAGTTAAAGTTTTTGAGACTTTATCTGAATGAATAGTTCATGTCTAAATTCTATAAATCTATGCTATAATTATTTTTTTCATGAATACCTATAATGTGAAGATTTCAACCTTAAATTCTTAATAACTTTATTTATAATAAATTAGACAAGATTCAAATGTCAAAGTTATTATATTTTTCTAGTATACGAATATTTATGTAAAGATCTCTTTCTTTCATATTTCATAAATTCTAAAGCAAATGATTTATGGTACTCTTGAAGTGTGAAATAATTACCATAGTCATAGACAAGATTCTTTGGAAGAGAAAAACACAAAAAATAATGCACAAAAAATTAGCACTCCCGAGGAGCCACACCACAAAACAAAC